ACGGAAACCTCATTTATTATGTATAGCGTTAACTTCTGCCGGCATAATATACTCTCTGTCTCATCCATTTGACAATTTTATATGGGATACAAACTTTAAAAGCTAATTTACTTTGTGATAAAATACACTAAAGGTAGAGAAAAATTTAAAGTATAATTGAGACGTTAGATTAAAGAAGAAGTATTACCAAAAAAAAAAAGAGATTAAAGAAGAAGTAACCTCTTTTTATTGACGTTCTGTTAGTTTCAAATGGTGCGAATTAAATACCGTGGTAAAGTGTTAAGACTTGATTGTCGCAGGTGAAAAAGATTCTGTTATATATATCGTTGGAATGCTAATTGAGCATCCTGAATTGTTTGTCATATTTTGTTTCGAAACAATAAAACAAGAACTATTTGATGAATATTTAGAATGGCGAAGTCTAATTTATTAGATTTTTCTGCACTGTATATAATCTTCCCCATAAAAAAATTAATAATCTGGAAATTTTGCATTCCTTTTTATATTTTTTTTTTATAATTATAACTATATAGAAGAGCGCAGAAGCAGCTCGCCGTCGACATCCCTGCTTAGACACAGGGGTATTTAAGTATATTCACATACCTTCTGTGTTCCCCTGTGCTTACACGTGCGCTGAACTTTGCTGAATAAGCTGCATATGAGATGAGAGTGCATCTACAGATACTTCTCCTTCTTTTCCATGAAATTTCATTTGGCTTTACTCTGCTCCATCATCTGTTCCCCTCACCTTCTGCTATCTCAGTTACCTATCGACTTCTATCCGTGGGTTTTTGTTGTGTTAACATCAGTATTTTTACCGAGGTCTGTATTCTCCTTGAGTTGTCGATTCTCTTCGCAAGTTATTTTTTGCTCAACAACAATACTGCTGCTGAGATTTTCACTGTACTTCCTTTTCTTTTTGTTTGCTTTGCTTCTTCCTTTGTCAGTGGTATTTAGTTAAAATTTTGATTACAAAAGAGGTAACCTTTCGTGAATGGGTATGGGTCTCTTTATTTGTGTCAATCTGACTAATTTGTGATGCTAATAATTTCATGTTTTCTTCATTAATGGTATCTTGAGCTTATATTCGTAGCAGTAGAATTTTTTTTAAAGATTGTTCGAACTCTATCTAAATTGTTTCACTGATAAGAAGCTAAATTCTTTTACATTCTCGAGGAAATAGCACACCAGGAGAAAATTCATTAGAACAACTCTCGAATTAGGTTTTTCATTGTTTGGTTACCTTGTGGTAATGACTCCAGCAGAAAAATAAATGATAAAACACGTCTTATTAATAGTGAAGGGAGAGGGAAACAGATAGATCTAATTTGACTAAAGGTGAAGGGATGGCGAGATGACAAAATCAGCAGGTGGGCTATAACCAAAGATTTGAAGATTATAGGTTCGACGTGTCGCTAAACAACATTGACTATTTATGTTATTGGGTTCAAAATTCAATATTTATATATTTTTAAGAGATATTTTAATACATACAAGGTTCGGTCAAAAGCCACTAGGTTCGACCGAATCCATAGCTTATATCTTGCCCCGCCCTCGAGATCTCACAATGCATTTAAAGAGAATCAACAAGTTTTGTGCCAATTTCATTAGTCAGAAGCTACATAGGTTAATTTAAGCTCCAATACTGCGAGGAGACAAATCATGAAGGAATTATAAATACACATAATTAAGCACTAGAACATGACTTTCTAGCAGGAAGTATTAATTTCTGAGTGCTATCAAATAGAATACTTTTTAAAGCAATTAGTTTCGGGTTTCATTTTATAGCTTCCTTCTGCCCATTTCTTGAACTTCTGTATTAATTTTCTCCTTTTTGGAATGATCATTTGAATGACCTCCATTAATAGGGGACTTAAGCAGGTCCCACTAATGAACTCCTCCTCATCATTACGTCATTTATTTCTGGTACAAATTCTATGACAATTTCTGTATATTCTTCTCCAAAATTCAATTCTTGATCTTGATTTTTCTCTTGTTCTATTTGTTAGTCATTGCTCCTCATTAATTCATCCTTAAGCATGCATTATACCACCTTAAGTATATTAGCTCTTTTTCTTCAATAATAATCAGTGATATTCTTTAGTATTAAATGTATTCTATACCACAAATTATTTGCATAAGACTAATCCTTAAAAATTACTATGCCTTTTTGGTTAGAGCAGGACATCTGATGAAATATTCTTGTGTAGATCCTTTTAGATAAGCGTAAGAGCTAAGATATGAGATAAACAATTGAGTATCTGAAATGGTTGTACTTTGAAAGTTATTTAGGACCTCTTTTGTATCATTCCAAGCAAATGGCTGCCACTGTGAGGCAGATACAAACAAATTCTTTTAAGCTTTGCTTTGAACGCAATGTTAAAAAGATCGAAAAATTGGTCAAATCAAAATCAGATTCTAAAGCTTTTATGTGAATCACTTCGCAGGTATCATTAAAAAAATTAAATGTATACATCATGTTGGGCTTATCATGAGTAGTTTTGCTGTTATTTTTCTTTTCCCTTTGGGAAGGGCCTTAGGGATTTCCTGTTTGCCGATTCAATATGTTCAAGTGGATGTAGTTGGTGCTTCTTTTTCCCCTCTTAGAGTTACCTCCATGATTGTCGTTAGGCAAAGTTATATGATTTTAATCTTTAAAGTTTTTAATATTGAATCCTCTTACTCGCTTACTACGAATATTACGAGGGATTACGAAGTCTTTGTGGGTAGATATAGTTGAATGTATGATATAGGTACACCGACGCATAAGATCTACTGACCAAAAAGTGATCTAAAGCTTCTCTCAATTACATAGCTAAAGTTAAGATGAGTCTTCAGTAGAAATGATTGCCTCCTCAAAGTTAAAATAGGCTCTGAGCAGATTTGTTCAGAAGTGGAACAAACTTTTTTCCCTTTCATGTTATTTGCAGTATTTATAGATCTAATATTCTTCTTTTCGTTTAATGTGTAGTATGTGTTATTTATAGTTGTATAAAGATGAAATTGCTGCATTCAGCATCAACTGCTCATTATTCAGGTTACATTGGTTCTAATATGATAAGAGGAACGGGGAAACTGCTTCTATAAATAGAATAACTTTGGTAGAACTTAATATTATATTAAAGTAGCTCTCGAAATTTATCTGTTTTAAAGATTGCTAAACTGCTGAAATTGCAGATGCCAGCCGATAAAACAACCATAGCATCAACAAGCTGCCCAGCTAAAAAGAAGCGATAATACTCAACAGAAACAATATCTAAAATGAAGCTTCGGCAACGTGAGCTGTACAGACAACTATCATTTGATAAAAAAGAATCGCTTTTATCACAACGACGATCAAAAGAGTTTGAATCAAAAAGTCAATACCTACTGCTTGATTCCACTAAAGAAGGGTCATCCTTCAAAGCTGAGGTTGACTTGCATTGGAAAAGAACTCTCACAACGCGAGCCATGTTCTGTTACTGAGACAGGTAGGAAACCAAAAAGATATAATTTTTACATGATACAGACTAAATACAAAGAGATCTTGTTTAAATTTGAATATACTCTTTTCTAATATATTTATTATAATTATTTGTATATTAGGTTCAAAATCTGCTGTAACCCATGAACGACATGATACACAAACATTGGCTATCCCAAACAAAGGTTTGTCTCAATTAAATCTTATACCAACACCCACTACTAATCTCTTCTCAACAGTAATGGTATCATTTTCTAACGCTACTTAGATATCATTTTCTAACGCTTTATATGTTTTGATACTATATTAGCCGATATATCTTCAGCTGCTGAGGCGACTGCTGGGTCGACTGGTGGCTCTGGCAAAGGAAAGAATCTTACTGACCACTTTTCCGTGTTTGAACTTGGTAAGTTGGAGAAAATATCTTGTTTAAATTTGAATATACTCTCTTCTAATATATTAACTATAATTATTTGTGTATTAGGTTCAACATCTGCTGCACCCCATGAACGGCATGATCCACAGACATTGGCTATCCCAAACAAAGGTTCGTCTCAACTAAATCTTATACCAACGCCCACTACTAATCTATTCTCAACAGTAATGGTATAGTTGTTTCAACTAATATAAACAGGTTATAGATCAACAAGAATAGGTTTTGACGTTAAACAACTGCCCAGTAGTGCAAGTATTTTAAAAACGGTACCAAACTGCAAATATTGTGGTGCAAAAAGATTTGAATATGAGCCGCCAGCATTTTGCTGTAGTAATGGTTCGGTTAAGTTGACATCACATGAAATGCCTACTGAATTGTTGAATCTCAATTTAGGAAATACTGAAGAATCTGAACACTTTCGCACTTATCTTAGAATGTACAACAACATGTTTGCATTTACTTCACTTGGAGTGAAGTATGACAAAGTTCTAGCAAAAAGGAACCATGGAATTTACACATTTAAAGTACAAGGGCAAATGTATCACTTCATAAATAATTTAATTCCGCCAAATCAACAACCACGAAATTTACAGTTGTATTTTTACGATGATAACACAGAAATATTGAATCGAATGGCTTCCTCGAGTATACTTAGATAGTCAGTTGTTGAGAAGCTAATGAATATATTAAAGATAATTCCTTATTGTATATTCTTGAAATCTCTTATACATATCTCAGATTTATCAAACTTTTATATTGCGTTGAGGTGCGGTCCTGGCTTAGATCAACGAGTATATAACCTGCCCAGTGTATCGGATGTAGCAGCATTATGGCTAGAACAAGAAACAGACAATAATAGTTCTGCACCGCATATTCGAATTCACACTCATAGTAACAAGAGCCAGTTAGTAAATTATTGTTATGGTTATTATGATCCTTTGCAATACCCACTTTTATACCCGTATGGTCAAAATGGATGGCACTGTGGTATTCAAAAGATTACACAACCTGGACATAAACTGAGAAAAAAAAAGAGCTTACTATGAAAATGAACAACTTCCAAGTGTATCGAATATGTGTTAAATTGATGGACTACTTGAGATGGAAGCTGAAGTTCTACAAAAGGGTAAACGAAAAAGGGATACTGTTTCTTGTCGTGAATACTACTGTTACAAACTTCAGATGAGAGATAACGAGGAAAACGGAGTTTTACATTCTGGTAGATTATTTCAACAATATTCAGTTGATGAATTCATAAAAGTAGAAACTCAAAGGTTAGATTTTGCCACATTTAATCAAGATTTATTTCGAATTTATGTACTGCAAGGTCTTTTAGATATCCTAAGACTTGGCGAAAGAGAAGCTTCCAAGATAGGAAAAAAAAAATTTCTTCCGACAAGTTTTACGGGTGGTCCGAGAGATATGCGTCAACATTATATGGATGCTATTGCATTAGTGCAACATTTTGGAAAGCCTGATATATTTTTAACTATGACATGCAACCCATGTTGGCCAGAAATAAAAAAACATTTGCTCCCAACGGATGAAACTCAAAATAGGCTCGATTTAATTAGTCGGGTATTTAGAGCAAAGGTAGAAGAGATGAAAACAGATATATTAAAAAGAGACATATTTGGAAAAGTTGCAGCTTTTATGCACGCTATAGAATTTCAGAAACGTGGTCTTCCACATGCTCATTTTCTTCTTATACTTGATGATGACTACAAATTATTAACACCTGAAGCTTACGATAAATTTGTTTCTGCTGAGCTGCCTGATGCTGATAAAAACTCGTACTTACATAAGCTTGTTATTAAACATATGATGCATAGGCCTTGTGGTCATTTGAATCCTACCAATTCGTGTATGAAGAAGAAAGAGTGCAAATTTAAGTATCCAAAAAGCTTCGCCATTGAGACAACGAAAGGAAAGGACTCATATCCAATTTACAGAAGACGAAACACTGGTAAATATGTGAAAGTTAGGAAACAATTTCTTGATAACTCATGGGTTGTTCCTTACAATCCTTATCTCTTGGGCAAATATAATTCTCATATAAACGTAGAAATTTGCTCTGATATTAAAGTTGTCAAATATATATACAAATATATTTGTAAAGGACATGATAAGATTTCATTTGGCTTACATGAAAATAACACAAATATAGAAATAGATGAGATAAAAGAGTATCAATCTGCTAGATGGGTATCACCTCCAGAAGCTATGTGGCGGTTATTTGCCTTTCCTATCAGTGAAATGACTCCAAGTGTTTATCATCTCCAGTTACATCTTGATGGGCTGCAATTTGTCTCTTTTAGAAAAACAGACACAATAAATAGTATTGTAAAAAATCCTATGATTAAGAAAACGATGTTGACAGAATTCTTCCTGATGAATGAAACAAACAAAGATGCTAAAAAGCTTAAGTTGTTGTATAAAGATTTTCCACAATATTTTGTATGGTCATCTACTTACAAAATGTGGACTCGACGACAACGAGGTAATGTTATCGGGCGTGTTGTACGTGTCATCCAACAGAAGGAGAAAGATATTACCTTAGATTATTACTAATGAATGTAAGAGGACCAAAATCATATAAAGATCTTTTGACAGTAAATGGGATATGTTGTGACACATTTAGAGAATCTGCAGAAAAAAGAGGATTGTTGCATTGTGACAACAACTTAGTTGAATGTATGTCTGAGGCTGCCTGCTATCAAATGCCTTATAGTTTAAGACGTTTATTTGCTACAATATTAGTATATTGCAGCCCTAGCAATCCAAGAGAACTGTGGGAACAATTTGAAAATTCAATATATGAAGACTTTAAGAGCTTAGCCAATATAACGGCAAAAGATATCCACCTTGCTATCTTGAATCACATTAATGATATACTACATTCTATGGGGCGTGATATTAATGAATTTAACCTTGTTCCAAAAACTATAAAATCTTCAAAAATAGCAACTGAAGCAAAGGAAGTGTATTTTGAAAGAAATATCATTGTGAGCGATGAAGATTTACTGTTACATACAAAATTAAATACTGAACAAAAGAAGGCATATGACATCATCCTCCAGAGAGTATTTTCTAACAAATCTGGAGCATTTTTTATTGATGGTCCTGGAGGAAGTGGCAAGACATTCTTATATTGTGCCTTATTAGCAACTGTAAGATCTAAAGGGTTTGTAGCATTAGCAACGGCAACTTCTGGAGTTGCAGCTTCGATCCTTCCAGGAGGACGAACAACTCATTCACATATTAAAATTCCGATTAATATGGATGAAAAATTTACTTGTAATATCAGCAAGCAAAGCTCACTAGCATCTTGGATTCGTGATGCAAAATTGATTGTTTGGGATAAAGTGTCAATGGCAAAAAAGAATATGATTGAAGCTTTAGATTCTCTTCTAAAAGATATAATGGACACAAATACGCTTTTTGGCGGAAAAGTAGTTGTATTTGGAGGAGATTTTAGACAAACTCTTCCTGTGGTTCGAAGTGAAAAAAAAGAAGATTTCATTCGGGAAAGTATATTGAACTCCGAAATATGGAATGAGCTTGAAAAACTACGATTATTAGAAAATATGCGTGCAAGAATTGATCCTTCTTTCTGTGAATATTTGATGCGAATAGGAAATGAAATAGAAAAGCCAAATATGGATAACAAAATAGAAATTCCGAGATCTTTTATTGTTCCTTATATTACTGAAAGACAATCGTTAGACATGTTATTCAAAATAATATATCCCAATTTACATACATCTTTTCAAAATTCTTCTTTTTTAACTTCCCGTGTTATTTTAACGACAAAAAATGACTTTGTTGATGAAATAAATGATAGACTTATAACTCAATTTCCTAAAGATGCTAAGACATTTGTTGCAACTGATGAAACTATTGAACCAAATGATCAAAGTCAGTTTGAGGATTTTTTACATTCATTGAACCCTGTTGGTTTACCTCCTTACAAGCTAATATTGAAAGAAAATTGTCCCATCATGTTATTGCGAAATTTAAATCCTTGTGAAGGTTTATGCAATGGTACACGATTGATATGTTGCGATTTTAAGAGTCGTGTTATAAGCGCTCGAATTGCAAGTGGTGATTTTAAGAATACACATGTATTTATTCCTAGAATACCATTACTATCTTCAGATGATGAAAAGTTACCTATCCCATTTAAAAGAACACAATTTCCTGTACGTCTATGTTTCGCTATGACGATAAATAAAGCATAAGGACAAACATTAGATTATATTGGAATTTATTTGCGTGAACCAGTATTTTCTCATGGCCAGTTATATGTTGCTTTATCGAGGGCAAAAAGTTCAAACTGTATAAAAATATTAATCCGGCCACCTACCGCAGATACCGATGATGATCAATCTACATATAACATAGTGTATGATGAAATTATTCAAAAAGCCCTTCTATAACTTTGTGCCTTTGTTGTTTATGTTCCTTCCATGACTACATATTTGTTTTAGTGAATGTTACTTCTTATTTACTAGGTCTTGGAAAAAAAGGAAAACAATTCTGTTGGGCTCGAATTAACTTTTTGCGATTTGATATGCAGAAGAGTTAACCTGATTACTTGCAAATCTTGGCTAAGCTTTTATCCTTATGGTATAGTTTTTTCATGCGCAATATATGAATAAAACTATTGACATTGTGAAATTTTTTCGGACGAGCAATCAATGAAAGCATTAGTGTCTGCAATTCTCAATATACAATGGCCTATTACATATTTCTGTGATTTTATTTCAACTCTGTTAAGTTGACTTATCTAATCCATGCCTCAAGAAAAAAAAAATTTAACTCCGCCTGTGTTCAAGTTATACTGTGACACAGCCGGTCCCAAGCCCGGACAAAGGAGGAGGGTTTGTTATTTATTAGCAATAACACTTCTGTTTTTATTTTTTTATTCGACTGTACTTACTGTGAATTGATGATGTTAATATCAATGGACTTTTTGCCATTTGTTAAAAAAGATTCTACGAATTTGTTATATGCTTTCCTCGGTCTTACTTATCTTTCAGGACATCATAACCAAAAAAAGATATAGAGATTTACTGCTGCAAAAGAGGAAGCGTAACACTTCAGAAGGCAGGATTTGGAGCATGAAATACTCGCAAATAGCGTAAGTATATTTGAAACAAGATTACTTGACTTAAAACCCTTCTAATAAATGTTTAACTTGTTTCCAGCGAGAAAATAAAGACTACTGCTGTAAACTAATGAAAATGGAGACAACTAATTGAACGAGTTAAAATTCTTTGCCACATACTAGCTGTAATTTTTGAAACAAAGTTTTAAGCTCTAATGTTCGAAACTGCAGATTTAAAGAGATAATACTATGTTGGATACTTTTACTGTCAAATAACTGTTGCTTCGTAAATCCAAATAGAAATAATGATACCCCTATCTCTATTTAAAATGTTAGAAGAAATTTTTGTGCTTCCATTCAGCTGGAACTGTTTGTAGCTACATTTGTTTTACCTACATTTAGTTTGACTCCTAATGTATATTAAGATGGTGTATTTGACAGGTAACTTATCCAAACACGATGGAATTTTTTTACTTCCTTGGAGCTGATATAGAAATCTTCGATATGCCATTTTCAATGAGCTTGGACAAAGGCCATAGTTATTGTCTGGTTTGTTTGGACAGAAAATGAATGTTTAGAATCCATACTTTTCGCAAATAGATGGAAAAATCGTCAAGTTCAAGCAGGATGTCATAAGGTACTACTACATCCTTTAAAAGGTTATGAATGTCATATAGGAGTATAGATGTTATTTGAATTATTCACGACCAATTTTTTTCTGCTTTATTTGGTTAAACACTTTGAGAATTTTGGTTCATATGAGACTTTATTGAAATGTACAAAAATATATTTCTTTATGGTATCAGTAGTAGAGCTTTATTCTTAAACTCTTCTTTGATTTGTTCTCCCTTAGCTGATACATTAAGACATCATACGACTTTTAACTTTTGGTCCTCTTTTGTTTTCCTCTCCGTTTTTATGAAGATCTTTTGTTGGTATTAGGCACTTGAAAGTCTTTAACATGTACCATCAAATAGTACGTCTATCAATTAGATCATACACGAGGGGCTACAAAGAGAAGGAGACGCCAAGGAGTATGAGTGTATGTTTATTGTGCTAATGGTGTCAACATTATGGTTTCAGCTAACGGCAGGCAATTAATTTTTTTTTTTTCTCATTTATAACTTCTAATATATACTTGGAATTTTTAGTTTCTAATATACTTTAGAAGTTTGAGTGTAACCCTTAGTAAGGTACTAGACTGTACTAAGAAGGTCTTTTGTTGTGGCTTGGGATGAGCATACACAACATAGAGGCAAATGGGTTGTGGCACAAGATGGCTAGAGCAGCTATATGGCAGATAGGCAGAGCATTTGTACAGGTAGCACGTGCAGCTGTGGTATATCACATATGGAAGGCCAAATGAAGCTCTATGGTTACAAAAAGTGCCAAGACCACAGATCATTTGATAATCATACATCTTTTCAGTACAATAACCCACGAAACAGTCTATGTATCGCTCACCCTGCGCCAAAATCAATAGCCTAAAGAGAGGAAAACATAGCAATGGCACAAACTGGATAGTAGTCTTGTACAAACAGGCAAAGTGCAGTAGTATAGATTCAAAATGTATAGATGAATGAAGGGGAGGGGAGATACAGGTTCATAGGATAGGATTGACTGATTGACTGGCTGGGTTCTGTTATGGAGTTTTTTTTTTTTTTGGTAATAAAAGATTTATTCAACAACAACAAAGCTAAGAGTTATTACAACTAGAGCTCAGACTAGGTAACATAGTGCCTAGACTGTCTCTTTTTAGTACTTGGATAAAAAAAACATGCGGAACAGCAAAAGTTTGCAAAGTACAAAAAGTGCCCAGGCTGCAACCATTCTTAGCTAATAGGTCCGCTACTCTGTTATGGAGTTTTGATGACTGTTTGACAGATGTAAATGTATTTGTTTCATGGTGATTAATTAAACTTTTTAGTTCTACAAAAAAAGTCTATGCTGTCTGTATATGCTTCTTAGTGTTAGTTGATGACAATGTACTCTTTCATGCATCAGTTGTGCTTATAAAAAGTGAGACCTCTCTCATGAATTAGTAATAAATTTTAATTTCCCAGAAGAGAAAGTTACAACAAGCGTGACACTCATTTGACCTGAGTATGGATTTATTGGCTGCACACTATCTTTGGAAAAATTAGGAATTAGAACTTCCTACTGCTACAATCCCACTAAATTACAGCACTTGTGTTGTATGAAAGATTTGCAAACCATTACATTACATGAGATTAAAAAAGACCATAACAACGCGTACACAAACATCACTGACAAATTTTTAGTAATAAAACGTTTCAGTATATATACAATTTTTCCTTGTGCTTGAGTTTTGATATTCATATAATATTTGTCGAAATAAAACACAGTATAATACAAAATGTTGGCCCCGGGCTTGCACGGGCCTATCCCATCTAGTTTAAAGCTAAGAAGCCAAGTGAGCCAATATATAATTAGGGGGTCATGCTATTTTCCAAAAGATTCTATGGTACTTTCGAATAATATAGTACTAGTTTTTTTTTGTTTGGTAATCAACTCTTTGAAGTACTACTTCACAATTCAGATTATTAGAAATTAGAAAAGATAGGATAGGCTCAAAAAGAGGTAAAGGAAAGGGGGGAAAAGACATCTTTAAGGTGTGTTAGGTATGGAAAATATTTTCCGAAAATGCTTTCTTATTTTCCACCGTTTGGTCGCGCAAAATAATTTGAAAAATATTTTTCCAGATATCACATTTTGTGAAATTGCAGGAAATAATTTCCCCAGAAAAAATATAGGAAAACATTTTCAAAAAACTCCACCTACCCTCCCATCTGACCTCAACTCCTCCCATTTCTCTTCCCTACCCCCCTCTCCCCCCTCCCCTTACAAAAAGGCTTTTTTTTTTTAGTTTTTTCTTTGCCGTCACCACCCACCCTACTAACCCCCTCCCTCTCCCCCCCTACCCCCCCCCACTCGAAAATCTTTTTTTTTTGTATTTTTAATTTTCTCTACAATATTTTCTATAGCACCTCCCCCCACCCCCCACTCCTGCGGCAATTTTTTTTATTTTCAGTTCTGTTTTTTTTATTTTTCAGTTTACAAGGTCTAAATTTTATGAGTTCGAAAGTTTATATGTTTGTAAGTTTGCGGGTTTAGAAATTATAGAGTTTACTTCTAAAGTTTAGCGGTTCAAAAGTTTATGGAATTTGTGGGTTCGGAAGGTTGATTTCGAAAGTTTATGGCTTCATGTTTATTGTATCTAAATTATTTATGAATACTCTTGAGAAATTATTTTCTTTAATTTGCGTACCAAATACAGGAAAATGAGTAAGATTATTACTTGTTTTCCCAAAAATTAAATCCGTCATTCCAAACGCACCTTAAATTCTCTTTCCACTTTCCTTAGCTCTTATATTACAGCAATCTATATATACAGAAATTCTGCCAATTGCTTATGTTTATTGCTTATGTTTAATAACATGATTCGGCGCATAAATCTCATTCTTTATGTCAATAGATATTAGTGCTTTAATTTAAAAATAATAAATATTCGAAAGCACATAAAATTACAATTTTTACATACTAAATAATTTTGAAAAGCATAATCAAAAGAAAAAAAATTAATTTCTTATAATACTAGTCCTATTGAATTAATGATTATAGTCCATGAAAAATGTAATACTATAAACTAGGGGCTAAATAAAGCAAGTACAGCGTAATCACGAGGTGGTTGCCCTCACGTGCAATGCTTAAAGACAAGAAAGTAGGAAAGTAGGAACTGTCGTAACTCCTTAGAATTTACTCATATCTCAGAGGATTTTTTTTCATAAACAGGGTGGCTCAAGGGGTAGGCTAGTAAAGCATTTGCTTTAGGCCCCCTAAATTTTGGAGCCCCAAAAATAATTATAAATTTTTTATCTTATTTTTGTTTAGACAATATTGAAATTTATACAAATTACTTATAAAAGTAGAAATAAAGATTATCTATTTTTAGCAATAGAAATATTTTAAAACTTTGAATTAAGATACTCAAATCTTCATATTTGTAAATAATATTTTTTAAAATAAGATCCGTGGTAACACATTGTAAATACGTGGCTAACATCTTAGCAACTTGAATTTTCTTACCAATATAAATATTAATACTACGTA